GTTTTTAATGACATATACTCTTCAAGCTCGTACAACATATATTTTGATTTTTACAACATACAGTGCTAGTGTAACAACGTCATTTTCAGTCAGTGTGTTGGGTCCGGCAAGTGTTTATCTTGTTCGAATGAATATCACGTCGACAGTGTCAACATCAACTATTACTACTACAATCACAACCACAACACCAGCGTCGGCTAGTATGTATTATTCATAGTTTGTGAGCTCATTTCTTTATGCAAGGATATTCTAAATTGATGGTCAACCTTCTTATTGTACAATCAATCTTTGAACGTAAAGATTGTTCGAGCATTGTTTATCTCTCATAATAAGGTTTTTTTATTGCGAAAACAACAGTAATGAAGAGCGATGAGTTACCAAGATGAATTGAATGCAACTGTCGATACGAGTAATGAAATTTTCTTGAATCTTTTGTGAATCAGTTAACACGTGACTTCATGACAGTTGAGCTTCTTTGATTATGAGCAGATAACAGTTGAAAGTAAATCGCAAGCAAAATAGTTCACGTTAGTGCACGAGAGAATTATAACGCATAGAATGGGACACATTCCAGTAGTGTGCATCATGTACAGATCTAGATAAAAATAAATGGAGCTTTTAAAATATGTATAAATTAAAAAAAACGAAAAGCATTAGAATAAATGATTGATCTTATATATTTAACTTAAGTTACATCGAACTTTAATTGAAAGCTAGCTGAATCTAAGATTTGAAAGGGTTCTCCAGCGTTCCCAATTGCAATCTTATTAAATCCAGGAGTTTGTAGAGTTGGTGAGTGTTCTGAATTGAAACCTAGTTTGTGCCATGAAGCTTCAAGAAAAATCAGAGAATTTTCTAATGTATGCTTTTTGAGTAGTATCTTTTATGGATGTTTATTAGTTTCTGGATTAAACCTGGTTCATATCTAATACAGAAAGTATAAATATATCATGCTGTTAGGTTATGTTAAGTTATTTTCGAAACCAAAAAAAGTGAAGGATATTTTAGCTTCTGTACTCCCTGTGGTAGGATTAGAACTGTCGTATCTTGGTATTAAATACTCCAAAGATTAAAAATGTTATTTCGTCTGTTAATAAAAATACTTTCAAAAAATAGACTCTGATGTTACCTCAGAAGAAGTCATTCATTGATATATTCCAGTATGAATGAATGAAAATGAAAACTCTGTCTAGTTAAAAAGTAGATACGTGTTTTTTCTTAATGGAAACGATAATCAGAATTTATTTCCTAGTTTTGCGCCAAATTAAAAAGAAGTTCTGCCGTAGTTTGTTTTCATCTAAATTGCAATTCTAACTAGGACATAAATAGATTTCTTATTGTCAGTTATTGCCAATCTGACGATCAGGACTAAAATCCAGTTGTTGAATATTCTGTAGAAACTGAAAAACAACTCCATGTATGTGTTAATTAGCTCTGATGTTTTTAATATCTATTTAAGATAATGTACGCAGCGCTAAAATGGATCTTGTATGGGACTAATATTCATATCTGTTTTCCATTTAATGTATCCAGAATTGAATATGAATTAGTCTGCAAGATATACTATCTGAGGTGACCTTTCTTCTCCGAGTGCATTAAATAAGAAATGTTGTTATTTTACTACCGAGAAAGGCATCTAAAATTTCGGAAAACTTTCATTTTCTTTGCTCATAGAAGTTGCATAGCCTGAAAAAGCTGCTTCTTTCTGACCTTTCAGGAATTCAACCAAATCAGCTAAAACCTAAATAATAGTTCATGTACGCTATCCTAAATATACAATAAGTCCTGGAAATTTTCACCAGAGAAAATCTTTCGCGTGGCACGATACTTCTGCGCGTGACGTTTCGGTGTTTGACGCTATTGCGCCGACATTTATGCTCAAAATGAATTGTTTTTGGCTTGTTTGTAGCTGCGAGTCTGCCTGCTCAGTATGATTGTGAGTAAGGTGTGGGAAGAATGTAGGTGTCGATGAGTGAAGTGTGGGTGTGGATTTGAGTCTGTGATTATATTGGGATTGGTTGAATAAGGACAGAAAAGGAGAATATGCTCTCGCATACCCACACCCAAATCTGAGTTGATAGTATTTGTGAAAAAAGTTTGAAAAAAATCGTCTCGATTAAATTAGAGTAGCCTTGTTTCGAAAATCAGCCAGTCTGTTACCCTATTCATAAGAAAGAGTGTCAGATAAAAAACTGATATTGGTAACTACATATTAAAAAAGTATCAGAGTCGTTTGGCTTGCCCAAACTCTGTATCTGATAAAACTTTTGAGAATCGTAGTTTCTGCTAGTAGGAAGATATTCCTGTAATACATGCAAGCGTTACGAAAAGAAAATGAGTGTAAGTCTTAAAACTCGTTTTTTGTATCTTATTATAGTAGTTTTTAATATCTTAGGAGAAGTGCAAATCTATCGGTCTTCAAATGTCACCAATATCATAAAAGCAGACGCTATACAAAATTAGTCAGACAACATTCGAATCCTAGATTTTCAATCGAGCATCTCTGCCTACTGCTTTGTTGTGCCTCTTATTCAGTGACGTATAGATGTGCGGGTGTTACGAGGATTAAACAATTATTTAAAAAGAGAACCATTTCATCAAAAGCTGACATTTATATGTAAACCCTTGTGTTGCTTCATTGGGAAATTTCTTTCTAGGATCGTCGAATACCAGCAGCATGAGTGTTGGTCGATACCTTCACACTGCATCGGTACTAACTAATGGAAAAGTCCTTGTTGCTGGTGGATTTGGTTATAGTACCTATTTGAATACTGCAGAACTCTACGAACCATCAACAGGACTTTGGACCGCGACCGGTACCATGAGTTACGGGCGATACGCCCACACAGCATCGGTACTAACTAATGGAAAAGTCTTAGTTACTGGTGGATATGGTGTTAGTGGCTATTTGAATACTGCAGAACTCTACGAACCATCAACAGGGCTTTGGACCACGACCGGCACCATGAGTTACGGGCGATACTATCACACAGCATCGGTACTAAGTAATGGAAAAGTCTTAGTTACTGGTGGATATGGTACTAGTGGCCTTTTGAATACTACAGAGCTGTACGATCCATCAACAGGACTTTGGACCACAGCCGGCACCATGAGTTATGGGCGATACGTCCACACAGCATCGATACTAAGTAACGGAAAAGTCTTAGTTACTGGTGGATATGGTTATAGTGGCTATTTGAATACTGCAGAACTCTACGAACCATCAACAGGGCTCTGGGCCGCGACCGGTACCATGAGTTACGGGCGAGGCTATCACACAGCATCG